CAAATTGAGCAAGATCTTCCTGATTTTGACTAGATAAGATATTTTGATAACTATTCGGACATTGATGACGTATACAGCAGATTTACTGCCGTCTTGCTTGACATTATTGAACAATATGTGCCTCTTCGACACTGCGTTGAACATTCATCTGACAGATATCCCGCGCACATAAGAAATCTTTTTGAGCCTGACAGATATCCCGCGCCATAAGAAATCTCTTTGAGCAACGTGAACGGCTATTTCATCAACTCCTTGAGCCATCGTAAAATGCCCTTTTTCTTGATATTTCCAAGGAGCTTGATTTCCATGTAAAGCGCTACCTAGCTTTCAAAATGCGGAAACTAGCTAAAAAGGATAACATGAAAAAGCCTTATGGATATATCAGAATGGTCCACTCAACCTACAGTTTGCATCAAACCGTGGAAGATTCCGAAGGGAATAAATATTCAACCAACTATACGAAAGCTGAAGCAATTGCAGACTAATTCGCTAGTGAGTATGAGATACCACATAATGACAATATAAGCGTACCTTCGGTTTCCACCGAGTGTTTGGTGTTATCAAATATCTCGCCTAGCACTGTTTTGAAGTATCTTAGAATACTCAAGCCATCCATGTTTCTCACAACGGATGGAATCCCTCAACTTTCTTTCAAGGAATATGCAAGGTACCTCTCTGTTTCCCTTGCTCACATTTTCAACATCTGCCTCATTCACAGCCAAATTTCGAGCGACTGGAAGAACTTTTTAGTCACTGTTATACCAAAGTCGGCAAACTGTAATCTCATAACCAATGCCCATAAGCATCCTACCCACCCCATCGAAAATCTTTGGAGAGTAGTGAGAAAGGGATTGCTGGTATGGATTTCGAAGCTCCATCTCATCCCATCTGAAGAGCATGGCTTTCTATTCGGGGCATCTACTTGTACTCAGTTGATTAGTTGTACACATGCTTGGATAGAAGCCATAAATAGCGGCAAGAGTGTTGACGTTGTTATTTCGACTTGAGTAAAGTCTTCGACAAAGTATGCCACCCTAAATTGCTGGCTAAGCTCGACAGTATCGGGATTAGAGGAGGTACATGGGAGTTATTCAGATCTTACCTGCTAGGGCGTAAACAAAATGTTCGGGTTGGAAACTGCATTTCGACAACGAAAGAATGCCCCTCTGGAGTCCCTCCGGAGGTGTTTTGTCGCCTCTCCTTTTTCTCATCTATACCTATGACTTGCCTAGTAATCTTAAAATTAACGGCAGAATCACCGCTGCCGCATTCGCGGATGATATAAAAGTCGCAGAGACTTATTCGCAAGATGAAGAGCATGAGGCCCAGGCAGTGCTAAACGACTGTGTTGAAAGGATGTTTAGCTGGACCCATTTCTGGAGCTTAGAAATCAATCCAGTAAAACACACCTATTTCCTCTAAGGAAGACGCCGCTAGATATTCAGTTTCCGAATAAACTTCCTTCGAAGCACAGTGAGCTAGTAAAAGACTCAGGAATCAGACTCTCAAGAAATCTGAGCTGGAGCGTCCATGTGGATGAAGTCAGCAGCAAGGCGCGCAGGTTGGTCCATTTCCTATTCAGGAATATCCATGGCGGCAATGTGGACATGTGGATTAGACACTTCAAATCATATATCCTCCCAATTCTGGAACACTGCAGCCCCGTATGGAGTCCATACCTTATCAAAGATATCCAAGACCTGGAAAAGGTCCAGAAGACCTTTACGGGAATCTTATTCTATAGAGCGCTCTCTAATATGAACTATCCTTCCACTCTACCACCTTACAGGGACCGCCTTCACAAACTGAAGTTGAAGAGTCTTCGCCACAGAAGAATTGTTTCTGATCTAGTCTTTGCTTTTAAGATAATGAAAAGAGAGTTACGAATCCGCCCTTCAGAATTCTGGATATTTCGACCTTCCAGCGGTCGTCGAGGTGGCTTCCAGATTTTTGATCACGCGATGGGCAAATTTCATAAACAGTTTCGACATAATAGCTTCAGTCTACGTACTACTCGGTGGCTGCAGCGTCTACCTCCGTCGCTTTTATCGTGTCAAAATTCCTCTCAGTTCAAACTTGCACTGAAAAAGCTCAACTTATTGGAAGTTGTGGGTGTTGACGACGTGTCATAGTTTATTTCGGATGACTTCATTTTCGGGAACACGCGAGTCGAGGTGAGACTCCTCCCCCCTTTGTCCTGCTCGCCGAGGGAAGCAGCTTGCTTGACCAATCTCTTTCTTATTCTCTTCACTCAGCGACTCTTCGCTCTGGTTCATTTCACCTTCATTCTTTTCCTCTCCCTAGATTTGTTAACTTACAACTGTTTTATTTGCTGTTCATTATAGCTATCAGTTAATGCTTTAATTATTACCAGTTGGGTTACGCACGCCACTGCGTGCAACATATGTCCACGCTTACGCTTGCGATTAAAAGTGTCAATCGGTTGCTCTTCGTCTTGAAAATTATGAACCATTAAAGGTTTAACTGATAGGCAACCAAGAATTGCGCAGTACTCACACAAATGTTCTCAAGTGATAATAACACCATTATAAGATGTCGTTATCACTGGACCTTCTTTCCTCCCCGGGCACATCATTAGTTGAGAATCCCAATTTATTGACGGTCGGATGAGCTTTGTCGTGAATGATATCAAAACATTAAGTAACCTTGATCTTCCATCGAGTTACAAACTTTGCTAGGTAAGGTCGTAATCTATATAATAGTCGTAATCATAAATACATCGTAATTACCACAGGAGTTAAATTCGATT